GATATGCTGTGGTGTTAATAGCTCTCTTAAACACATTTCCTGCGTCAGAAAGCCTGGGCTCAACAGTATGATACTTGAGACAGCAGGGTTTCTCTGTATAAGACAGCTTGCCTGATGAGGTGTTTTAATTGACAAAAACGTCCATATTAATAAGTTCTCATGCTAAAAGAAAAGTAGGTTGCCTGCCATTCACTTATACAACACTGTTAATGATGGTTTCTAAAAATGTTTACTCCAATAAAATTTTGTTGTTGTTAGGGAAAGCTCAGTTTCAGCTGGTCTGGGCAGGAGTTGACGCCTGGTTATGTGACATTTTATTTATTGATGTAGAGCATGGGTGTATAACCACATTTATAGTTTGTTTCCTTGGTCTGTTGTGATCCTGCGATGTGATGAAATGTCTTGCGATTGTGCAGCAAACTTAATTTTCCCCCAGGGACAAATAAAGTATCCATCTATACCTTATTAGAATAAATTCCATTAATGCTTCTGAAAACTGTCTGTTTCAAATCCTCTGGAGTGATCAGGAGAGAACAGACTGCAATAAATGATTTTGCAAATCAGTGTATTGTGTAACTGGCTTACAAGCAGCACAACAAAGCATTTCCCTTTGAGAATCAGTTTGACCCAGTCATGGAGCATATTTGGCTCAAGTGTACTTGAGATGTAGCTACAATTAAGCTTTGGTTATTTGCATCCTGAATTCACATAAAACTCAAACAGAACCTCGGAACAGTTCAGAGAAAGGAACAACTCACTGAACATAAGATCTGGATGGCTACAATCATGTCTACGTACAAAAACGACCAGGCTCACCCTACTACACAAGCACAGTATCTTCATTTTTACTTCATCGATATGTGCTGGAGGCAGTGCTGGCACAGATCATGAGGATTTGGCAAATAGCACTTGTGCAGAAGGGCAAAAGTTAGATTTCACCATAAGTGGATTTTAACTATAAAATCTAGCTTTGAGGGCTCTCCTTTTAATAAAAACTGCTTTTTGAACACTACTGAAGGTAGCCATCACTCTTCAGCCCAACCTCACTTCTGAACAATATTTTATATTTACCACATTCAGACTCAACAAGAGAAGTACGTG